TATACTAACCCAAGAAGGTAGTAAATTTTGATTCGAGATTAATTAATAATAGTTTCTATATTTCCTTGCGGGGTCTAAGTGTCTTTAGTGTGATAGATAGTATGAGGCGCTAAGTGATTGGATATCAATTTTAGAACCAATATTACTTTGTGTATAGCTTCCGACTAAATGGCCAATTAGTTGGTGTCTTTCAATTCTGAGCTTTATAAAGTACAAATTGATATAGAGTCAGCCTTACTCTGTTTTTCGCGATAAGCCTGGAACTATACTTAATATTACGGCCTACGACTAAGGCTTAAACCTATTCGACGTGGTGTACTTATTATAGCCCCCTGACCTAGCTTTTTACAAAATCTAGTATGATATTTCAAATTTAGATAGATAAGAAAGACTGCGTTCGCTAAATTATTAGTGCCCCGATCAATATAGTAAGAAATAGCCGGCTAAACCCCGCGAGCGAGTCTGATCGTAAGCGCTTCCACAATTTCACGTTTGGTTATTGGTTATAAATTAGAGGTATTCCCTTTCGTTTACAACGATTAATTTCACTATATTGCAAGAAGTTTTCTATTAGATTGTCAGTATCTCTCGATTTATTGCCAGACGTTTGCTAACTTCAAAAACAGTTAATAGTATGTGTAGTATTTAGGTTATAACAACTATCTTCGCTTGCGGATATAGAGAAACGAGAAAAGAACCGTATCCCTGTCCTGAGAATCACGCGGAGCTATGGCCTAAGGTGCAAATAGGTAGCTCTCATAACCGTCGAGATAAATGTCCTAGCTGCCGAGGAGCTTCTAATAGACACTAGGTATATAGCGGTAAGTGTCTACACGCTTGGGCTATAAGCTTCGTTGTTGACTTGAATATTCTTCGAGAAACCACTCTAGTGAAAGTTTCTCTTTTAACCAGCATTTGGGTTCTATTTTCGATATTATACTAATAATATCAGTCGCTAACTCGTCGAGATCGTACTATTGCACTATAGACCCCTAGGCCTCTTTGTTAATAAGTTATTTAGGGTAGGAGACTTATCTAGCTCTATATATAATATAGTCTTTGTACTTCCCTCCTATCTATAATTTCCTAGTAACCTTAAGAGGCAGAATATAGGTCATTCCTATATCAAATATCTTAGATCTATTTAGTTTTGTGAATATAGAAGAAAACGAACACAAATAGAAGGAAGGATATAATAGAGGCTTAAGTATATAAAACCTTTCAATTAACCAGTTATCCTAAGTCCAAAAGATTGTGTATAGTATTAATTACTTAGCTATAAAAGTACTTCAAGAATTCACGCCAATAATCATTCTCTATATAGAGAGCAAGCCTACAATTATTTTCCATATATAGGTATATTATAGCTAGTAAAACGTAATTCGGTATCTCTATCCAAACCATAGCAATCTACTAATACTTGTAACTGATCTCCTGAAAGTATACCATTAAGTACACAGCCTAAAGATCGTGTTAGTTGTTAAAAGAGATGTGTATTATATAATTGTTGATTCTTACTAATATCGTTCTCTCGTCTTTTTCTCTATACTCTGATTCGCTCTCTTAGTAAAGTAATAGGCTCTAGGTGTATTGAGGTATTATAAACCGCTTGGTCGATATAAGCGTTAAGTGTATAAAGGTTCTCTAGTATCTCTAAGGTACTACTATATCGTCTAAGCCAAGTATTTCGAATGATCGCATTAATACCTAGATGATTGGTATATATACTAGGCAAAATCAGTACACTGTCCCTATCAATAGAAAGCTTAGGTTTGATTCTATGCTTAAATTGATAAATAAGCGAGCCTATTGCAAATATATCAGTTGCCTCCGACAGAATTAGCGAAGGGCCATTGACTAGAAGCGGGAGATCCTAGATGACCAGGTTTGATTGGCCAAAGGGGCTAGCGGCACTGAAATCACAAAGAATAGCAGAGCCTCAATTATCGAAGAGTATATTATCAATTTGTATATCTCTATAGGCTATTCCAAGCTTATGAAGGTAGCAAAGAGCGTCGGTGATATCGTAATACCATCGAATTCGAGTAGACTATAAGGATATTTCACCCGCCGGTAGCGGCTGATATCTGCGGAGATATATCCCCTTAGCTTGATCGGTGTCGATAGGTTCAATAATATAAGGATATGGCCACTATTGAAGTAATCGTAAAACGAACCGTTTGTCTTACAACAAACTAGAGTGAAAAATGGTATCTAAGGTATAGTGGTACCGGTCGCTGCCAGAAGCGTCGCGCCCAGGTTCTTCGAAAATGCGACAATTCTTAAGGACTATCTCCTCGTCAATTTCGTAGACTTGACCGGTAGCTCCTACACCCAATATTTTCAAATCAGACTGAAATAGTGGCCGTATAGTATAGGTGATATGGTCCGATAAGGCGACACCGACTGTATTAATGGACTCGGGATCACTCGATCTTTGAGAGTTGGATGGATAAGTTTTAATGAATAACGGAATTATACTAGATAAGAATCCGAACGTGCCTTCAATAAAGGATAGCTAGACCTCCCGCACAGCGGAGAAACAGTTCCAGAGATAGAATAGCATTTTGACGGCACTATGAAATCAGGAGAGTTTAGGAATCCACTAGGAAAGTAGTAAATATAGAGCTATATTATATGACCAATCTCTATATTAGCTACAAAGAAACGAACTTAGCTAAATTTGCTGCCTAATAGAAAAGGCGACGATGTTCTGTCGGAGTATATAGACCGGCATACTAGGGATAGGTTATGCAGTAATTTTGAATTAGTAATCCGCTATCTATATAAATTGCTAGGAAAACGGATACTATAATACAGAGATTTTAACACTATTGATTAGACTTATATATTTCAGGATACCATTGTATTTAATATATTCGAAGAACCTATGGGTGTCGATCACATGACTTTCAACCTAATTTGAATCACCGACTTAACAATGCCCTCCTATTCAGCTCTTTGATTAGTGTATAAAATGTTGTCAATTTTTGTTTAAAGACAAAGTAAATTAAAAAATTAAAAAATGAATTTAAGTAGCGAGCTGTAAAATCAATTTGGATAAGTTAAGGTAGACTAAGGCTACTTATATTAATCTGTAATCTTTAAGCAAACCTATAGGCATTATAAAGGACGTTCAATCTCTAACCTATTTATGATTAGGGAATAAGACCCCGCATATTTATCATCAGGAGGAATTCCAGATATATAATATAATTGGCGGGGCATTAAGAAGGAAGTGGCGATGTGTAGATGCTAAGACACCTAGAGTTTCAAGAGGAACTAGATAGTCTAATGATCTACATTATAGCTCAGCCAAGAAGAGGGTCAGTGCGGCAGTCGCGCGACGCGGATGATTCTCACCCCGATTCTCACCCTGTCTATAGTGCACTCACCCTTGTCACCCCCGGTCGCGCGACCGTAAAGCGGCGCTCACCCATTTCTCACCTGGGCGACACCCACCGAACTACTGACCGCACTTAAGCCACACGCCGGTGAGTTAGTAGTTGGGTGGGTGACCACCAGCGAATCCTTACTGTTGTATGTCGGTGTTCACCCATTTCTTTTTGATTCGTTAGGAAACCCCCTCTTGCCGCTCTACTCTTCAGCCCATTCAGCCCGTTCACCTGAATGCCCTGAACACCACTATTCTACACCTGAATATCCTGTACGCCCCTAAACCGCTGACGTGTCCTTCCCCTCCTATACTGATTTTTTCTTACACGTATGTTGTTTTGATCATAACAAGCTGCTTCTCGAAACGTATACGTCATATACGTACAATTTCTCCTCTTCTTGACTCTTGACTAGCTCCGGTAAGATAAAATGCCCTATATGATAAAACGCTAACTAGGTACTTATATATTTAAGCGCTATCACTACCAATCTATATACTTAATATTACCTAAAACCAGGAGAAACAATGAGTATTAGATTTTTTCATATTGTTACTTGTGTTTACCTTCGGATACAAGTGACCTATGACTTATTAACTAAATTATAACTCGACAAACCTATTAGGCTAGTACTCCGGTATAGACCCTCTAAGCGCCGAACCTGATATTGTTCCTTGATACCTTCAAAAGGACTTAATTTGCAGTAAGGCACGTTGGTAATAGTATAGTTAAGAGATAGATTGTTAACGTCGGAGGGTAAGGGATTAAGTGGCTGGAATCACTAAGCAGCGTAGAATTAAGAGAGGGGACTCTAATATCTAATTATGTTCAAAACCCTAGTTCTCCCTTATCTATCCTCCTCCCTTATAACCCTACTAAGTACGTGTGTATTAACAACGCAAATAAGGCCTTAGCAGGATATATCCTCCCCCTATGCTTGTCCCCTTCCTTCCTATCTATACTTTCCTTATTACCTGGGTTAGGAATCCTGAAGCTCCGAACTAGAGCCCTCCTAATATCAAAATCACGTAATGATAGTTCGTATATCACGTTACTTAAGAGTAGGTCCTGCTCCGTTGAGGTTATCTAGCGGGGCGAGCGTAGCGGAAGCTAAGCGGTCCGATACGGAGTTGGGCTAAGATACTCCTCGAATGAGCTTCGAGCTATACCTTCCAGACCTACCCTTACTTCTAGAGCTAGCGTAGGAGAACCCGATAGTATATTATATACCTAAGATAATAAAAGAGATAGAGGAGATAAAGGAGGTAACTTATCACCTTATTGATATACCGAATGATCGGTTATCGGTAGACAAGAGCACAGCAGAGTCAGGCTATTATCGCTTTCGTGTCTCCGTTTATACCTTAGCTATAGTATATACAACGGCCTTTTATTATATTCGACTCTATCTGGGCGATCAGAACTCTTGAAGTCTGGCAGGAGCTCTAGTAACAGTTGCTAGGGTAGTATCGATGACCTAAGCCCGCGTTGACAGGGGAGGCGCGGTGTTGCCTCTTCTTCGCGTAGGAATTGTGTAAGCACAAGCTCTTTGTTGGTAAGGATAAATCCGAAACGAGTACTAAGTATATAGGTATAGTGCTACACCTAGGCGAGGTACGTATAGTGGTATAAATACGTGCCGTTAATAACGGCTTTAGTATACTTGATTTTCTCTTCCTGCTGGCGGACTAGTTTTGTGTCGCCGACCGCAATAATCTTACCTTTACTAACAAGCTTATCAAGTGTTAGAACGTTGATATCATATAGTGTATAGGTACCTTCTACGACGACCTAGTCCGGTAAGATAGTGGTCTCTATGCTATTATCACGAAAACTATCGAAAGAACCTAGGCACACTACAATAGTTACGCGGGGATCTTCCGACAGGATTGTGTTTTGTAAAGTAATATTCACGCAGGTAATTAACGTATTATAGTAGAAACTTTCTAGCTATCTCTCATTGTAGATAACACGAGCGAGGTCTGGTAGCTAGGCCTACCACCGAGTTATGAACTATTTGTCTAAAAAGGCGCGTATCCTAGGACTCGAAATATTGGACGATTAAAATACTTGCCACAATTCGCTTTGGCCAACCTTATTGTACCGGCTGTCAATACTAGAGGAGGACATTGTGGTTACGAGTGTGTGGTAAAGTTCGTCGGTATCTAGCCTATACCACGGCTCGAGGAAATTGTCGATTGTCAAGAATATAGTGGATTTCTTATAAAATAATAGTAGGAAAGCGGACTAGATAGATTAAAACTCCTTATTTTATTCATACTTTAGTATGATTAGGCACCCACGCGCCTAACACTGCCTAATACCACCCTTATTCTTTTAGCGCTATATTATCTAGCCTATATAATGTTGTTACTAGTAACGAAGTGTATCTATGATCCTAAGCGGTTTGTAGGGTTTGTATACCGCTTAGTGCCTGAGGCAGAGACAAAGCAGTCTACCAAGCCGGAGCCTAGCACTTCGGCCACCGAAGATAGGGCTTGGTAGCCCTATGTAATAGATTTATACTAGAAAAGTAAGCGAGGTGCGGTTTATGTAATTACTTAGTATACCTAACTAACTCCTAAGGCTAGTACTATCTAATAGAAACCATGCGATCCTTATAGAATCTTATATTAAAGAGTGATAGGTCACCTGATGTCACCTGATCTAAACCTGGTAACTAGTATATAAACAAAAACACTATATATATTCTCCTTTTACAACAAATCTGCTATTAATATCCGATGTCCACTGACTCTATATCGTCCGTCTCTTATTTTATCAATAAATTGATAATGCTAAGCCCTCTATCACAGATCCCACAGTAGTTATACCTATCTAAACAAAAGGAAAACTTATTATAGCGATAGAAGCGGGATCGCTACCGCTATAAATCAGCTATAGGGCGTTGTGCTGTATTAACGGGAGCTATCGTAAAGGCCCCTATTCATGAGTCTAAGGTTGGCCAAACAGTAGTACGGGCTAGAAAGGGAAATCCTGAGTATCTACTGATTTACATAGTCTGTTCGCCCTTGCCCCAATCTACTAGTTATATATCCTTACCTTCAACTCTACCTCTAGTATCCCCTGGATGATCTTGCTTCCTATAAGCGCGAACTTTCTGTTATAACCGCTATCTCTAGGATCCCCGCCCTCGTCGACCATGCTCCGCGGATTGTTAAAGCGGATCCTAGCTCTGGTATTATTATACTTAGTACCCTAAAGCTCTACTAGAACCTATTTTTGTACTCTCTAGAAGCTGAAAAGTTTGGTCTCGATAAGTTGCTCGAACTAAAATAGAAGCTTCGCTCCTACATCGAGTTATTGTATAGCTATGGTATGGTATACCGCGTTAAACATAACTTTGTGTTTCCCGCGCGGATAATGTTAGGCCGCTGGGTGCTATATCTAGGTGGCTAGATAGATACCGATTTTTGTCCTGACCCGAGTCATTTAGAGTCAACTAAGTAGAGGGCGCGGGAAGTAAAACAGTTAGATGAAATAGAACGTCTATTCGAACTACTAGTTAGGCGCTGCGAGGATATATAGGATGAGCGGAAAGGCTAGCCGGGCCATAGATATAACAAATAGACACTAAAAGAATAGCTAAAGCCTTAGACCTAGAATAATTGCTAGCTTTTCGGTGCTGCTTGGCGTTTAGGAGCGTAGAATAGGAAGGGAAGGAATTAAGTATTGACTAGGGAAACTATCACAAAAGTCTTGTTATTTGATTAGAATAAATTCGTCTTCGTCGTTATCTACTATATAGCCCTTCTTCGGGGTCGCCGCTTAGGGTATTTTCTCTTATTCGGCCTTACTATGGCTTTACGACTGTTCTAGGTCGGAAATTTAAGGCTATTGTCGACAATCTTTTAGGAAGTTTAAAAAGTATATATTTAACCTTAAGAGACCGGAATAATGATTGATCGAAAAGAAACGAGTTAATAGTCATAGATAGCGGTAACGAATCATCCTATTAGGGTGTCCGCGTGTCCTAAATATTTATTTGCTCTAAGCTAATCTCTAGTGAAGTTTCCGATAGGTTCGCACGGTCATAAAAGGTGACTCGGCCCTAGATTCTCGAAGCGGTTTATTGTCTTACAAAGCCTTAATGACAAAGTTATCTACCGTGTCTTGTTAAAATTCCGAAGAGACGCTTCCGAATAGATCGGTATATTCTAGATATTCGTAACGATATTATCGATTTAGGTATTAGAAGGGAATAGTGGGCGTAAGGTAAAGGTACCGGTACGGTCGAATTTTCTCTGCGGTATGGTTAACCGAGACTATCTAGATAAAGAACACCCTAAAGGCACCAATATACTACTAACGTTTAGAGTCGTTTGTTTTCTAGAATATACGTCGAATCAATAGGTTCGGATTACCTAGGCCGGCCTAGTTAGTAGATAGAGAAATTTAGTCCTAATTTAAATTTCTTAGCAAGTACAGTCACCATAGCGAGGTCATTATCTCGATTATATCACTTATAAGACCCGTAAGTTCTTCTGATATAGAAAGAATAGGCTTACCTCTCTTATTCTCTATCCGTTCTACGGAACACGCTTCTATATACTCTAAGTTTTAGGGATTAGATATCACGCAGTCACCTACCAACGGACCTTATGGCAAACAAATAGGCGTACCTTCCCTATCTAGGCACTTGAATCTCCTGTTAGGAGTAGGCTCTATAAGAGAATAAATTGAGCTACGTTAACTAGAGAATCCGACGTCTGACGAGGTGCTTATAGTTAAGGCTTGCTTGATTATGATAGTCTCTGATTTAATCGTCAGTTTTAAGTAGGTATTGATAGAAAAGTGGCTTAGTCCGTTTATTCATACAGTCGCTTTTATTTAGTCGTTTATTCTAAAGGGCTACCTAGGATCTTTGTATAGAGGCTCGCTCTAAAGCTCGCTCTAATAGGCTACCTAGCTTAGAATTACTTTGCTATAGTGGCCCTTCTAATAGAAATACCTTAAGAAGCTACTATATTGATCTAGCAAGAATGCTCGAAGTCGAATTATTACGATAAAGACTTCTCTTTGTCACCCTCTTATGAATTTCCAAGTAGTCTCGGGAGAAAATAAGGACAGAAGAAGGTCCCCAACGGTGAGTAGTAACTTAACGCGAGATAGATATTTAAGTTTCACTTAAACAAAGTCCAGTCCGCTAGCTCTATCCTACACACCAATTTGCCTAAATTGGATGTCAATCTTACTAAAGATCTGTATATACTTATATTTATACTCTTCGAGCTTATATTACCGCTACGGTAACGGCTATACTGATTTTAGTGAAGCTATATACCCCTATAATGTTTATTTGCCTATATTGCTTTTACTCTATTAAGTCCGAGTCGCCCTGCGTTTTAGGATAATGGTAGTTAGTGTTCGTAGGATAGACACTATCATTCTATCGATATATAAGAGGGAACGCTATATTAGTAGGAGCATCTAAGCCAGTAATCCCAATATTAGGAGCCATAGTATAACTGATGGTAGGACTACTCTAAGAATAGTCTGCGGGGTAAGGCTACTCTTGATAACCTTAGACTTAGGAGACTCTCTGTGATCGTATATAGCACGCTTTTGCCGGGTTAATTCACACGAAGACTAGAGACCCTAGTGAAAGTCGGCGGAGGATAGGAGTCATTAGGAGCCTAGTATAGTATAGTAAGGCCAATATAAGTCTCGAAAAATCTCCTCGGTGGCTTATAGCGCCATGAATTAGGAAGCTGGTGGTGCAAAATAGATATAGGAGTGGGCGGCAGTCTAGCTACACTTAGACTAGCTCTATTGGGCTATCGAAACAGGATAGCCTCGAGGTATAAGTTATCTTAAGGGCCAAAGAGCCTAGAAGTATACTCAAGGATTTCTATTGGTTTAAGTGAATCTACTTGATTATAGCTACTTATACACTGCGAATACACCAGAGTCCAATCATCTTCCGGAGTTAACTCTATCACTGTTGGTTCTTAGGAATATAAGGGGCCTCCTTCCCCCTAGCTAGCGGCGTTCCCTGATTTTCCCTTTTCTTCCTATCCGATTAGGTTATATCGGCTTTCCTCCCCTAGTGGCGACTAGCGGTATAATGGCTAGTCATTCCAATACAATTATAATAGCCGATGATAAGAGATTACCGAGCCCCGAGCTAGGTACCTCACGACCTTAAAGGGGCCCTCGGCGCGATTATAGTTACTCTGGTTTCGAGTGTATAGTCTTTAGTGATAATTCGGCTAATATAACACTATCACGCAAACGCAAAAGAACCGAAACAGAGGAGTCCTCTACTCTTGTATAAGCTACTATCAATGCCTTATTCCTCTATAGCCCAAAAAGCGCTTGACCATGATATTCAACACTTACGATAAACCAATATAAAACTTCGAGAGGATATTCTCTTAAAGAGGAATAGGTACCAAAAGACACAAGAGGAACTTTCACGGCTAAAAGAATTGGACTGCAAGATCTACTATATGCAGCTAGACCGTTAGGTGACTTTACTATATAGGTATATATTTTGCAAGTTATGCGCAGAAAACCTTTTAACTCTGATAGAGATCACGTGACCTATAAGTTACTCCTAGCATATTATAGTCTCTATACCTTATAGTGGGGGACCTCGTCTTCCACTACGTATTGACCTCGCCTATCCTATCATTTACTAACTAGTTAAGTGGTTTATATTAGGTAATCTCGGGAAGCTAGGTGCCTAGGTAGAGGTTACTAGTAGTTAGAAGAGACAGATTGAATAAAACACACCTCTACACCTCTCTGAATTGACTTCTTAGGCTATATACCTAGGTTCCTTTATATATAAAATCGAGTATAAGACTAAACTGCGAGTGCTGAATCGACCTGTATACCTTAGAGCATACAGCCTTAAGCGTTCACCTCTTTACGAAATAGCTTTCTCCTTTCTCCTTGTATATCAATATAGTTTTCTATAGTATATAGTGCTTCTTGTGAAACCTATATTCTTAGTCTCTAAGCTCTTAGGAGATATCCTATTTATAGGGTACCTAGCACTAGATACATCGAATCTAAACCATTTACAGGATAATATATATCCGCTATATTACCGGTCTAGCTTAAGGATATAAGTCTAAGCTATAGAGCTATACCTGACCAATCTTGAGCCTCTACTATTCTATATACGATTACTATGATCCTCTCGAATGCTTCTTTAAGTATTGAATTAATAGAATTGATTTTGAGGTACTCTATCAATTATGATATATAGAACACGATATGATATATATAAACTAGAGGAGCAGATATAAGAAGGGCTGCTAGAGCCTTATCTATGATAGAGTTTAGATCCCTTTTATATAGTGGGAAGATTCCCTGATAATTTGCAGCCTAGAAAATGAGGTATAACACATATATGTTAATAGTATTTTATATGCGAGTGGTCCCTACTAAACCATATAGTAAAAACGATAAACTTGCCCATCTAAATAACTAATATATTTATTTGGTTTTTTAATTGCCGATAGTAATTGATAAGAATTTTAATATAATATATCAATTTCGGAAGAATCAAGTCTTTGTGTTCCTATGGTTTCAAAAAATACTGAAAAATGCACTATTAAATATATATATCTTAATCACTATATTATCAAATTTCCTAAAACTCTATAAAGTGCCTACTTGTTATTTAGAAAGCATTAAGATATAAGGAAAAGTTTATATATATAACCGTTGCTACAATATTATATTATAATTTATCGCTTTTACTATATGTTTTAGCGTGGACCACTCGCTTATGAATACGTTAACTAGCTACCTCACTAATAAACGTAATTATCACCGGGTCTAATGACAAAATTTATATTAGGTATGTTTTTCCGAAAGGCGGCCCGACCGGTTTTAAATCTATCTAATATGGTCACGTAGCCCCTCTTGACCCCTCTAAAGTTTTTAGAGTAGCCTTACCTCGCCGACCGTATTTTAACAACTTGATTCTTTTAAGAAGAAAGAAGAAAAGAAAAACATTAATACATCGGACTTTTAACTATTACCACCTTCTCTTTCGGAAGGAAAGCCAAGTCTAACAACAGTATATCGATATTCGGCTACCGTTCGATAGCGTTTCTCACAGACAACACCAATATCTATAACCAATCAATCACTTATTTTATTAATATCTGCCGACGTTAGGTCTGGCGCGAAACAAGCCTAGGAGGAAGCACACCCGATTACCGAACCTTTGCTAAAGCCAAGACGGTCAAAAT